CTCGGAGCCCCCCTCTGGTACTTCTTTGGCACAACAGGTGTCTTCTAGTCCAGAAAAATTGTCCAAAAAGTTTCGCTGCATTTGGACTCCGTTTGGTACTGATATTCTACGAAGTAAAAAACAAGCAAAAAAACAACAACTGGCACTATGTCAATAGGTTGGTCCCAAGAAATGATATAAAATTGCTATAAAATGATTGTAAAACATTCAAGAATGATAATATAGCAGCATGGAACAAGAAAAAATTATAGATATGTTGGAGACGTACCAGCCACATCGTATGTTTCAAGTGCAAGAACACATGGCAGTATGCGATAGATTGTCCTAAGTTGAAGAATCGGAATGGCAACGAAAATTTCGGAAGCCAGAAGGACAAGTGAACCACACCAGAATGAGAAGAGTGTATAATACCCTAGTCTTAGGTAAGATTCTCATCAAGTGCCAATATTACAATCATTCTTCGATATTGGTGCATGATTTTCATTCATATCAAAGGAGTACGAGTAACAAGCATGGAGTAAGCATGATACTTTGAATATGGATTTTTCGGAGTACCCAACCTTAACCAATTAATAGCCTACTCGAATCTCGAGGACGAGATTCATTTGAAGGGGGGTACATTTGTAACATCCCAAAATTTGGAATGTTACCACAATCATTTAGGCATATCACTATTTCCATGCATATTTAAAAAATAGAGTTTATGAAATAATTCTAATAAGAGAGAATAGAAGGACTTCAACAAATATTCATTTGACTCTTATTTTAATTTTTTCAAATATTCAAATACTTCATGCAACTCAAGGACCCCTGTGAGAGAAGATAGCACGACTTCTCCAAAAATTTATACAAGAGAGTTGAATCTCTTTTGGATCAAATTTGGAAGTTGGTCGAAGTTGGAGTTCAATTCTTTTTCCATTTATCCAAAATAAATATAAAAGAGACAACATAATATGACTTCTTAAAACAACAATAAAAGGGTGGAAATGATTTCAGTCCAATTTTCAATTATTTGAACTTTATTTTATTGAAAAATTTAAAGCCTAGCAAAAATAGGTATTTTCGGAAGTTTTCATTTAAGGCATAGAAAAGGTTCACGCGGCTCTACATATGCCCATATATTTATGAATTTTTCTAGAATCCGTCTAGATATTTTACTATTTTATTTTAGCCTTGTCTAGACTCTATATTTATTTAAATAGAAAAAAGTTTAGTTAATTTAGAAAAATAAAATAAACCCAGTCTCAACAGGCCGGTGCCAGCCAACCGGCCCAGCCGCAAAAACGGCCCACAACCTACTTACCCACTGAAGCGGTATTCGCCACCAACTC